GTTAGAAATATTATATATAATTATCACAATTACCAATCAGTCTTATACTAATAAATCTTTTAAATAATAGAACAAAATTACACAAAATCTACAATGCAAATCTCTAAATCAAATTCGTCCAAAGATTCTGTTTCCGAAAATTCTTCATCATCTGAGACTCCTTTTAATATGCGAAGAAGTTCTTCCGTAGTCATTAAATTCCCACTCATTATAATAGTCACTTAATATAAATCTTGAACTCGATATCACAAGTAAATTAATCATAAATATTATTCATTCACTTCACTAATTTCTGGTCGCCGCGCTTGTGACGTCACGATATTGTCGTCTAGTCGTGACCATGGCGTACAGGGTACTGATAATTCGGGTTGCGTTAGGGATGCGCTTGAGTTGGGATTAGTGAATATCGAAATTCGACCCAACCAAATTTTATTTTTGACTATGTAGCTTATTGAATGATTTTTAAGACTGGTTTTATAAAATTAATGCTGCTTTATCCTAGTACCAAATTATACCTAAAATAATATATTCCAGAGGAAAGTTTCGAATCGATCTTTGATTTGAAATAATGATATTATCCAACATGCGCTACATCACTAGCGGTCACGCAGTTATGACTCTGGCGTGTGAGGACATTCTTTTTTCAGAGTTTATTTCTTTCTTTTTAACGTAAAATTTCTCAATATTTATAACGCAATTTAATTAGTTAGTTTTATGGAAATAAATAAATTATGGACCTTCTATTTTACAGGTATATAAATAAATAGGCATTAAAGTAATGTTTAAATAGTTTATTTCGTGTTTTAATGTACCGCTGTTTTTGTCACATATTTGTGTCGTTGGCGCTCAGGGACAGTTTTCGCTTGTCACGTATTTGTGACCCTGGCGCTCAAAAGGTTAAGTGACTTGCGGACGAACAAGTCACCAATCAGACAACAATAAACATATAGCAATTTTCACTAAACACACACCATAAAATACACATAACAAAACAAATAAATAAACACAAAAAATGCAAATAAATCAGTCTATCTATTAAAAAACCACATCAATATCCGTTGCGTGGTTTTAAAGATCTAAGCATACATAGGGACAGACAGACGGGTGATAGCGACTTTGTTTTATACTATGTAGTGAAGAAAGAAAGAAAAACTATTTATTACGCCACAACACACAACAAGAATGTAGGTACACACAGGAAGCTCACGGTGCGTCGCAGCGCAAAAGACTGGAGCTCAGTAATACTGGACCGGGAACAGACGCTTGAGTCCACGGCGCTGATTTTCCAGCACCAGCCAGTCGTAGTACGTACTAATTATACACCTATGGTAACGCAGTTCGGAGCACAGCTTGATATAAATAATAAAATTAATATAAAAATGAAAACAAAATCAATAGAAACTGCCAAAAAACTAAATAAATAGATGGAAAATAGAAAGATCCTTACTAATATTATAAATCGGAAAGTGAGTTTGTTTGTTTGTTCCGCTTTCACGCCGTAACTAACCGATTGCTTTGAATTTTTGCAGACGTAAAGTTAGAAGTCCGGATTAAATAATAGGATGCTTTTTATCTCGGAAAAAATGTGATATTCCCGAGGGAATATAAAAGTATTGGTACTGGTACCTATAGATGGCGCTGTGTGTATTGGTATGTTATTAGTTATTACGTCACAGGCTATTTTTTTCCTTTTGTGACGCGAGCGAAGCCGCGGGTAAAAGCTAGTATAAAATAAATTATTAAAATGTATGTCTCTACCATTCACGGGACCACAGGGTCGCAGTCATTTGGGAGGCGTACGAGGGGACGAAGCCAACTGCGCAGAGGCCCTTTAGACAACTTTAATATAAATGTAATGGACACACAAACCGGCGACTATTCCTGTATGCACTATGGAAATGCATCCAAGGACAGTCCCCGGTTAGTGTAGAACTATTGTGAATAATGGATAAAAAAGATAGGGCTATAGATGGGTTGCTGTGAACTGGTGTAATTGGGAACTAAGGATGACTATGGCACCAATTATTAATAATTTATCGACTTTTGTTTTTACCCTATCTGGCACAAGATGGGCTAATGTTAATGTTTATTTATTTATTTAATAATTCATGTACACACACAGACAGCACAGCGGACGAGACAAACACATAATATATATATAACATTCGAGTACATAGGCGCTTATTCTTGTTGGAATTTCTTCCAGTAGACCTGAGACAGGGAAAGTAATTAAAACAAGATACTGTGTAATGTTATGACCATATGTTACCGTAAAAAGGTTTTAACAGTAAAAACAAGTAAGGTGAAATATAAAAAAAAACTTATAAATTTGTCACAATAAAACATAATGGGGATGATGACAGGGTATGAAAATTAAAAATATAATTAGTCCGTAAGTTAGGTAATGAAAAAATATTAGACACGTATTTTTTTATTTTGTCGTATAATAAAACAATATTTAGATAAAACGAATCAAAGTTTAGGAGTGGGGGCTAAAACGTCATTTCTTAGTATAAAATGTACTGAGAAGTGACGTCACGCGACATTTCAAATCAATATATCTTCGAAACTATTCGTTTCTGTGAGAAAAGAAAAAATACGTGTCTAATGTTTTTAAATAATCTACCAGACGGACATTAAAATAAAAATTAGTCGTCTACCCTATTTTGACGAATCTTGAAATATGTCAAAAACTAGAGGTCCTAGCAAAATAATTCTTGTATAAACTACGTTTAAAAAAACCAACTTCAACCCCCTCTTTTTTGGAAGTCGGTTAATTATTGATTATTCTCCTAAGTGTAACAAACACTTTAATGATAACCGGATCAAAATCGGTTCACCCAATCGAATACATACATACATACGGGTCGAACTGAGAATCTCCTTTTTTAAGTCCGTTAAAAATAACATAATTTTCGTAGGTACCTCCTTATGTACACAGTGCCGGTCCTAGTGTCCTTATGTATATTTGACCCCATTAATTTAAAATAAAGTATCTTTCATAAGAAATAATAGTGGTAACTTTAAAAAAAAGACTAAAGAAGGAATTTTTAAATATGATAGATACATAAGTATTAAAAAAGATTAAAGTTAATTGTTCTAGACATAAAAAAACAAAGATAATATGTATCAATTAATAGTATAGTATTTACATAGATTAATAGTAGTTATAAGCAACTTTATTGTATAATATAAGAGCGCCACTATCGCCAACAAACTGTTATACAGTTTGGCGATTTTTGATGTACCTATAAGTAAGTTTATGTATAATTTTTGTGAATAAATACGTTAAAAAAAAAGAAACATTTTTAGGTGGTGCAACAACAAAAAATGTTCACCAGAAAAAGCAAAAAAAAAAAAAAAAAATTATGCAATCCCCCCCTTTTAAGTCATCCAATCGCTGTTGCCGATCACATCCCTGAAGACACGGCGGTGCTCAGCCCACGCAGGACACACCGCCATCGTATGTTCCACCGTGTCCTCGAGGTGGTCCTCGTTGTGATGAAACCCGGGCGTTTCCTCCCGCCCAATGCGAAACAAGAACCTACCGAAACTAACAGGAACCTACCGAAACTATGCAATTCCCCTGGACACTCAAAAATTTATCCTATAAAGAATCGAAAGACTTCCAATCCAAGGTTTACAAGAGCATCATCGAGCTGGGATTTAGCAAAACCATCTCAAATATGAGACCCGTACTCCATATATGAACTTGTGCAAAGGAAGACGGGCAAACATGTATGGGAAATGTACCTACCGACGAATAACGACCAGACGTGTGTCGTCAGAGAGCTCTTTTCATGACTATCATTTGTTATTACGAGAGCTAGTCTCAATTCATTGTGGGGAAAATATTATAGTTACTTAAATGTTTTAAACAAAAGATAATGCGAACCATATGTCTGTCTGAATGAGTCTGGACCCACCACTCAATAGCAACATGTGATACACCGTTGGATAGGGTTTCTTAAATGGAACAATAGTTGCGAATACACCGGAGAACCTAACGGGTTACGTTGGGAGAAGGAACGGGGTGGTTTTTAGTCAGTTAGAATCTGACACTCCCTCCCGCGTCACCCAGGCGGGAGCAGTCATTCGATGATTTTCCTCCCTAAAAAAAGGGTCGGCGCCTGTACATACAAGTCTATTTCCTCGCTTCGTTGCGGGCACCAAAACAGTTACTCATGTCCCTGGGACGCGCCGGACTTCAGTGTTCCGATGTTTTCATGGTTGTATCAACTGTAGATCCTGGTGCACACGATTTGCACCGGTTTTGGGAGGTTGTCCCCACAACCTCCCAAGGTTTGTCCCAATAAAAAAAACACACACATAATCCCGCCTTTTATCCCCGAAGGGGTAGGCAGAGGTGTACATTATGCCACTGTAAAATGTAACACCCACTTTCACTATTTATGTTATGAGTCCCATGTAATAGGGGGTGAGCCTATTGCCATATACCGGACACAATTCCAGACTCCGTGCTACTACTGAGAATAAAAAAAAACCCTGAAAAAGATACAGGCTTATTGAGGGAGAGGGCGGCAGTGCCCTTGGTTGAAAAAAAATCTCGTACTTCGTAATAATATGTCGTAATTTTGTTACAATTGGTAAGTAGAAGTAATAAGTATTAAAGCTTTATTTTAATAAAAACATGTCGTTAGCTTCGTTTTACACGAACTGTGTGCGAACGGGACTTCATATTTTTAGATTCGTTAAGTGAAAATCTATCAATTATTAAAATTACACATTGCATTAGAGATAAATAAAACACAATAGTACTTAAAAATATAATTTATTTACATTATAAAATCATAACTTAATAATTAATTTGCCAAAACACATGAGCTGCTGTTTACATGTGAACATTAGCTCATGACGATACCTAAGTACGTGTGTCGCCTGGACAGTCACCGCTACCATCAGTTGACTGGACAATCTCTTTACATGAGCTGCTGTTTACATGTGAACATTAGCTTATGACATCTACAAGTAATTTAAAATTAATAGTCAGCGGCAGTATTCGCCAAATAGTCCCTTCTTCCGATATTCGAAGCTTGCTTGTTTTGTACAGCCTCCAGTTTCGGACATTCTGTAAAAAAGATAATTTAGTTTACGTAATTTGAAGTTAAGTAGTTAGTAGGCTCACTTATTGTGAAACAAGTGAATTTATTTCTGCAAATAGGCTACAAGGCAGCACTTTTACACGTCAATTTTATCAAGCGAACGATGAGGCCGACATTTCCTAACTGACTACTCTGAGAATAAAATTAAAACTCAAAAAAAGCATTTATTTCAATTAAACCATAAATTGGTACTTTTGAAACGTCAACAAATATAAAATAAATAATAGTCTGTCAGTCTGTCCGTCAGTGAATCTAGGTGAAATGCCAAAACAAACACAGAGGTCCGTTATTAGTACATGGGACTCATAACATAAGTAGTGAAAAGTGGGTGTTACATTGTACAGTGGCATTAAGTGCCGTAATGTGCACCCTTGCCTACCCCTTGGAGAATAAAAGGCGTGGTGTTATGTTATGAAAGTTGACAAAGTCTAATTCAAAATCATTTATTTCAATTAGACCTGGCGGCTTACTCTTGAATCCAATTCCAATCGATCGACATTGGTTTTGTAAAATTTCGTACTCTCGATTTGCAACACTAGCGCCCATTGCATCCAAATTGCGTGGATATTGAATGAACTAAATGGTATTGAGTTTGGCTTTATATTCCGTACTCTGAATGCTATTGTAACAGCTACGATTGTGGTTGTATAGTGTTGACATTGAATAATTATTGAGATTTTATTGGATTGAAATTGCATTGACATTCAGATTGGTTTCAAAAGTAAGCACATGGAAGGCACGTTACCCTCAACAAAAAAAAAATTAAAAGTGAAGCTATTTGCTCGTTCCAAAGTGTAATAGTAGTAGCGCGATATAACCGAATTTCACGCGAGCAAACAACTATTTGTTTGTTTGCCTGTCTTAAACGGCAAAACGGAGGTACAAAAGTGTGGGAGAGTCATGCTTCGCCACGAATGAGCCGGCTCGACCGGAGTGATACCATGGCCGAGCAGAAAACCGACGTGAAGCAACGCTTGCGTTGTGTTTCGTCGTGTGAGTGAGGTTATCAGAGGCCCAATTACCCTCCCCCTCCCCAATCTCCCCAATCCTTGAATCCTCAACGATCCTCAAACTCCTAATCCCCAAAAGGCCGGTAACGCACTTGTAACGCCTCTGGTGTTCCAGGTGTCCATGGGCGACGCGGATTGCTTACCATCAGGTGATCCGTATGCTCGTTTACCGACTTATGCCATAAAAAACTCATTATCGTGATTTTTTAACTGAAGGTAGTTGAAGGGATGGATAGTCACATAGGCTACTTTTTATCCTTTTGTGTCGCGAGCGAAGCCGCGGGTAAAGGCTAGTAGGCTATAAAAAATCGCGCTGTGACCAATAGGAGCCGAACAGCGGTTGAATATGCGCAGGAGTAGCTTGTATTAAAACGTATATACCTGTAATTCTATGTCCCAGACCGCCACAGTACGAACATCCCTGTCCGTCAGGCACTGGGACGTCTGGCTCGCCTATCATATCCAATAGGAATGATGGTACCTGTAAAACATTTTTTTAAAACATTTATAATCCCCATAGTTGGCAGGTGGAGAATATTGTTTTAAATGAAATTCTGTTGGTGTATATTGCTAAATAATGTAGCAGGATGAAGGTGTGCAATAATCCCCATAGTTGGTTAGTAATTTGGAGATCACAATTAAGATTCGGGTCACAGTTTTAGGGCTTACCAAGTCGCTTTTATCATATAATAAAAGAAGAATTCGTCTGAGACACAATCCCCATACTTGGTAAAAAACTTGGTGATTAAAATTTTATATCATTAAACAAAAGTATAAATATCTCCTTACCTTCTGCTGAGCCTCTCTCAACAGATGCGCTAAATCTCTCAACACGCTGTCGTCAGCCGCCCTGCCGAGTAACGTGGTAGCTACGCCTTCGCCCCCGGCTCTGCCCGTACGTCCGATGCGATGGACATAGTTCTCTATGTCCTCAGGCATATCGTAGTTAATGACGTGTTGTATATTCGCGAAGTCAAGACCTGAGGGGCAAATATATACATAATAACATAACATAACATCACGCCTTTTACCCCCGAAGGAGTAGGCAGAGGTGCACATTACGGCACTTAATGCCACTGTACAATGTAACACCCACTTTTCACTATTTATGTTATGAGTTCCATGTAATAGGGGGTGAGCCTATTGCCATATACCGGGCACAATTCCTGACTCCGTGCTACTACTGAGAATGTTTAAAAACCCAGTAATGCTTTGCCCGCCCCGCCCGAACCCGAGACCCCTTGCCCGGCAGTCACACTTGCGACCATTCGACCAAAAAGGCAGTCATACATACATAATTTATTTATTAAAAAAGAACAAATATATGTAAACAAAGTGCGTGACACTTCATTTAGTTTGTATAGTTTGGATTTGCCGTGTAAGGTATTTTTGATCTGTGAAATAGCTAATCTGTGGAGTAAACTGTCATATTGAATGACTGTGAAAAACAAAGAGTATTATAAGTATAGGGGTAGTGAAAAATATGAAAAGTAAAATGATTAATTGTTATGTACAAGTAAGAATTTTAATGTAATTAGAATAATTGATAAGAACTGGTGAAACAATAGCTCTAAATGTTGTTTCTCTTTTCAGGTAAAATTAGTGCATAGTTATTATTAAAGAATGTTTTGTAAAAGTTTTAAAACTAGATTTTGTAAATAGGTAATAAAATAAAATTGTCTCTTTTCAGAGCAACTAAAATTTGGTTATAGTTTTACTGTTCATCATCATATCCAAGGACAATATAATAAATAATATCTTATTATATATATATATCGCTTTTTTTGAGTGGGGAAAATCATTCAATGACTACTCTCGCCCGGGCGAGGCGAGAGGGAGTGTCAGACTCTTACTGACTAATAACCACCCCATTCTTACCCCTGCACTTCTAGCCGGAGCCCCGGTAACCCGTTAAGTCCTCCGCGGCTCCGTATCGGCATCAGTCCTATAGGGCCCCATCCGTGGTGGTCTGATGGGTCCTTGTGTCGCGCGCGGAACGCTCGGCGCCGTACGCGCTCGGGCCTGGTTCTGGTCGGGCGGCGAGCCAGCCATGCTCGCCGTCCGCAGGCCCGTGCACAAACATATCGCTGGTTTGCGAGAATATCGATGTAATTCAAAATGTCTTATATCCTACTATCCTACCTTTGCTAGCCACGTCAGTAGCTACAAGAACATCTTTTTCTCCTCTTCTGAACGCTTCCACAGCGCGCGACCTCTCTTCTTGATCCTTTCCACCGTGTATGGCAACTGCTTCCACTCCTGTAGAAAAAAATCAAGTTATTTTGATAAAAGTGATGACAGACTACAATGTTGCGGGTCTGGAGTGTGACACAGGGAGCGCGGCGTGTAACACTCTTTTCGCGTCAACCCGGGATTCGAACCCAACACCGATGCAGCCGCCGGCAAGCGATACTAGCGTACGTAGAAACAGGGAAAGTGCGTGGGAATCCCGGCAGAGGGCGCGCCGAGCCCGCACCGCCGTACCTCGAATAGCCAATAGTAGCGACAGTCATCACGTAGCGGGTCGCGGAATGCTGCACATGAATATAAGCCTCTAGCATAGCTTGAAACTAGTCGACATCCTCGTAAAACAGTTACGTAAGTAAGCTGAAAACATAATAATTAATCACCACAGTTAACGATGCCATTGGTGATTAATGAAATTTACCTTTTAGCAGTAGATACTCGTGGATAGCATCCACATCTTGCTTTCTCTCAGCAAATACCAATACTGGTGGTGGTGTTTTCTGAAGACATTGAAGTAAGTGTACAGTCCTAGCTTCAGCCTTTACTGGTTCTAATTCTTGGCGCACGTTGAGTGATGCTGCACCAGCTCGGCCTACGTTCACCGTGACTGGTTTCACTAGGGCAGATCTGGGGATTAAGCGTGGTGATTAATGAATGTGTCAAGTCTGGTGATTTGGTGACTAATTTAGATTACAAAGGTCGTCTCTTGATTTGAACTAAATTATTGTTTTTTAACAATTTTCGATATTAATAAAAGTTGAAGAATAGAAATAAATCCCCTTACCTGGCGAAATTCTGAATCTTCCGCGGCATAGTAGCGCTGAATAGTAAAGTCTGTCGTTGCCCAGCGAAGTATGAGAATATAGTTCGGACGTCCTCCTCAAACCCCATATCTATCATCCTGTCCGCCTCGTCCATGCACAGATACCGACACACGTTTAGACGTACCTGGGGATTACAAGTTTTGAGTAAAACTCAATACTGTAGGGTTGCTGGTTGTGAAATTAAAGCCCCGGTGTTCTTAATGATTATTTATTTATTGGCAACTTCACTGTTACATTAATTTACTACAAACTAATCAAGATACTTGTCACCCTAAGTGGAGGGATGAAAGAGACTGCGTGGCTATCGTCTTTCAGACCTCCCCTAGCTGGCTAATTCCAGAAGACCGCTAGGCTATCGAACTAGTTACCGGAGTCGTACGTAGTGAAAAGTGGTTGTTACATTGTACAGTGGCATAATGTGTACCTCTGCCTACCCATTGGGGGATAAAAGGCATGATGTTTTGATGTTATGTATAAATAACATAAAGACAAGTATAAAGTCTTACCATTTTCTTATCAAGCATGTCCATAAGTCGACCCGGCGTTGCAACCATTATATGAACGCCGCGCTGTACAACTTCCATACATTCCGATACAGCCACGCCTGAAAACAACAGTTTAAAATGACTGGGCAATCTCTTTACACGAGCTGCTGTTTACATGTGAACATTAGCTCATGACGATACCTAAGTACGTGTGTCGCCTGGACAGTCACCGCTACCATCAGTTGACTGGACAATCTCTTTACATGAGCTGCTGTTTACATGTGAACATTAGCTCATGACGATACCTAAGTACGTGTGTCGCCTGGACAGTCACCGCTACCATCAGTTGACTGGACAATCTCTTTACATGAGCTGCTGTTTACATGTGAACATTAGATCATGACGATACCTAAGTACAATAGCATCATATGCTCCACTATTTAAACATGGGAGCATACTGCTAAGGAGTGGAATTCTTTGTCAAAGTCTGTGTTTCCTGAAGGGTACAACCTGGGTGTCTTCAAGGTCCGAGTGAATAGGTTACTTATGACTTATCTATCGTAGACCGCATTATCGCTTACCACCAGGCGAGATAGTGGGCAAACGGCAGCCCATCAAATATAAAAAAGGGATGAAGATCGTAATTTTAAAGAGGAAGGAAATATTAGGCAATGCACTGGAGACCAGTGCCAGTCTCTGTCAAACGTTTATTTTCTTACTCAACTCTTACCCGCGGGGAGAGACGGGATGGTGATAAATATATTTTACTCTACAAGTAGTTAAGATCATCATCATCATATAAACAGCCGAAAGACGTCCACTGATGGACAAAGGCCTCCTCCTTAGTCCTCCACGTTGAACGACAACTCGCCACCTGCATCCACTGGCTCCCCGCAACTCTGGCGAAGTCGTCGGTCCACCTAGCGGGAGGCCTGCTCACGCTTCGTTTTCCATTCCGTGGTCTCCACTCAAAGAATTTCCTGGCCCATCTGCCGTAAGTCCGTCGAGCGACGTAGCCTGCCCATTGCCACTTCAGTCTGCAGATTTTTGCGAGCTATATTGATAACTCTAGTTCTTTGGCGAATTTCCATATTTCGGATTTTGTCACGCAAAGAAACCCCGAGCATAGCTGTCTCCATCGCGCACTGAGCGACTTTGAGCTTCTCCAGAAGGCCAGAGGCCAGGGACCACGTCTCGGTACCATACGTCATCACTGCCAACACCCACTGGTTAAGCATCCTGGTCTTCAGACACCGAGGGATTTTCGATGATAAGATTTCGCATAACTTCCCGAACGCTGTCTATCCGAGTTGGATTCTTCAGGGACCTCTTTATTAAAGATGGACCTACCTAGCTGGAAACTCCTGTCCATCATCGTACCACAAGATAATCGGCGAACCGTCACCGATTCATGGTAGATGTTCCGCCCACACGCACGAAGCGCTTCGCTTCAAGCTTCCTTGTGCGTACTGCTAAAGAGTGGAATTTTTTGCCAGAGTCTGTATTTCCTGAAGGGTATACCCTGGGAGTCTTCAAGGCCCGAGTGAATAGGTTGCTTATGGGACGACGTGCTCTTTCGTATACCGCATTATCGCTTACCACCAGGCGAGATAGTGGTCAAACGTCGCCACATCAAATATAAAAAAAAAATCTGCTCTAAGTATGTGTAATGTTCTACAACTTCGAGGATATCGTTCGAAACGATGACTGGTACAGGTGCAACATGGACGTTTGACATGATTTTGGTCTTGTCCATGTTCATTTTAAGACCTCTCTGTTGGTAGATATTGAGGTCGCTGAACATGGTGATTAGGTCCTCCAGCGACTCCGCCATGATGACTATACTATACTAGTAGTTAATATGCTCACCTCCAATAGCCAAACAGCTTCGTATTTCAGGATTTCCGCACAATTTCAGTTGCTTCACGAAATGCTGTATGATGTCGTGTGTTTGTTTCGCCAGTTCTCGTGACGGACATATTATTAGACCGTATGGTCCTTCGTTTCTGTAAATTATTATTAAAAATATGTTTAATAGAGTTGTAATTATAAAAATACTTATATTATTGATTAAAAATATCCCTCTTAAGAGTTTACCATAATCCCCATACCTGGCAAACTACTTGGGGATTAAACTTATGTCAAAGATAATTGAACTGCTGTCCATTTGCCGAGTCGCAAGTGCGACTGCTGGTCAAGGGGTCTCGGGTTGGATTCCTGGGCTCGGCCAAGTTTTTTTTTATGGCATAAGCCGGTAAACGAGCAGACGGATCACCTAATGGTAAGCAATCGGCGTCGCCCATGGACACCTGGAACACCAAAGGCGTTACAAGTGCGTTACCGGCCTTTTGGGGATTAGGAGTTTGAGGACCGTTGGGATCCAGGAATTGGAGAGATTGGGGAAGGGGAGGGTAATTGGGCCTCCGGTAAACTCACTTACACGACTGCACACAACGCAAGCGTTGTTTCACGTCGGTTTTCTGCTTGGCCGTGGTATCACTCCGGTTGAGCCGGCCCATTCGTGCCGAAGCATGGCTCTCCCACACTTATGTATTATTGGGTTTAAAAAAAAAAACTCAGTAGTAGCACGGAGTCTGGAATTGTACCCGGTATATGGCAATAGGCTCACCCCCTATTACACGGTTCCCATAATTAAAATAGTGAAAACTGGGTGTTACATTGTATGTGATAACCTCTGCCTTCGAGGATAAGAGGCATGATGTTATGTTACCATAATCCCCATACTTGCAAAATCCCTTGGGGATTATAGTTAAGTCATAGAAAACTCCAAAAAATCCTTACTTGATGAACGGCATCTTGATTTCCTGTTCCAAACACATCATGATGATAGGTAGTGTGAACACTAGAGTTTTGCCAGACCCGGTGAATGCTATGCCTATCATGTCTCGACCGCTGAGCACTGCTGGGATGCCTTGCACTTGAATTGGTGTCGGTTTCTTTATGCCTTTAGCTTCTAAGCCTCGAAGGATTCCTGCGAAAAGAAAAACTATATGTTAACATTTAAGTGTGGGAGAGCCATGCTTCGGCACGAATGGGCCGGCTCGACCGGAGCGATACCATCGAATACCCCCACAAACCTCAAATTGCCAATTCCAAAAAGGCCAGTGTAGGTTATCATCAACGCCATCTAGCGGCTGACGGCGAAACTATCAAGTAAGCTGAGGCGCTCGTCGTTCGATGAGAGCGGGCGCTACCTAGCGGCAAAAGGATTACGCCCCTTCTCAACGCACACCGGATAGCGTTGCGGTTGGCTCCCCCCGCCACGCCAGTGCTCGATTATGACCGTACAGTAAACAAATGCATTTCTAATTTTAAGTAATTATTTCAAAAATACTTTCTTGAACCTTCATTGAAGACGCCAACTCTCTAACCTGCAATGCCGTGAACAGCCGGTAACGCACTTGTAACGCCTCCGGTGTTCTAGGTGTCCATGGGTGGCGCCGATTGATAACCATCAGTGCCTTTAGCCAAACGCTACGTTAGCGCTTGTCTACAGAGAGATTAGAAAACTAAATGTATGGGGATGACACTGACAAGTGTCAAAAAGTTACGTCAATTCCATATAATTTGGTTTTCTATTCTACATGTAGACAAGCTAAATTAAGTAAAAACGCAGGTTACTCACGTGAATATACCGAGAGAATCACTGAGTGAACTGCGCTACGTCGCCGCGACCGCGCAAGCTGCTCATGAGGAAGAACCCCTCTGTGGTTCGAAACTAGTAGAGCATTTCTCGGTATATTCACGTGAGTAACCCGCGTTTTTACTTAATTTATGTAGACAAGCGCTAAATGGCATTTGGCTACAGCTGCAGGTGATCCGTTTAATCCAGTTTACAACACAAACTTACCTTTAGGAAACTTCATATGCTGGAACGTTCTAATGGGAGGCGGTACATCATCACCCTCCACTAGTATCCTAAGCTGTCTCCGGACCCTCTCGTGTCGTTCCTCCGGTAACTCTAAGATACAGCGTGGCGGACGCCATGATGTCTTTATTGGTTCCTCGTATTGAATACCTGTGTAGATTTTATAGTATTTTTAAAATGCATAACATAACATCACGCCTTTTATCCCCGAAAGGGTAGGCAAACGTGTACATAACGGCACTTATTGCCATTGTACATTGTAACACCCACTTTTCACTATTTATGTTATGAGTCCCATGTAATAGGGGGTGAGTCTATTGCCATATACCGGGCACGATTCCAGACTCCGTGCTACTACTGAGAAGTAAGAGTAATGTGCACCACTGGCTACCCCTTCGGGGATAATAGGCGTGATTTCTGTTTTTATCTTACATAGGAACTGGACAGTCCAACTGTACAGTTTTATCTGCACAGTTGATCGAAAGGTGTGTAGCGTGCGTTACATACCTTTAGCCAATTCCGCGACTCCCATCAAAGCCTTGCTCTGTGCAACACTTTCCAATATATGTTCTTCCTCCCTCGCCTGCCGCTCCGCTGCAGACAGGGCCCTGGCCTCCGCTAGTCTCTTCAGTTCAGAGTGCTGGTCTAGCAGGGACACATTATAACGACGACCCCATTCTTCTTGAGATGCTGTGAAGGAAAATTAGTATTATTATTCCATATATTTATGTAAAAACCTTATCCTTACTTATATTATAAATCGGAAAGTGAGTTTGTTTGTTTGTTCCGCCTTCACGCCGTAACTACTAGATCAATTGCTTTGAAATTTTGCAGACGTAAAGTTAGAAGTCTGGATTAAATGATATTTCTTAGGAAAACAAAAATATTGGTATAGATGGCGCTGTATGTACTGGTATGGATGTCATTTAAAACCAGTCAACGAATTACCTACTTATTGTAAAAATCTAAATAGCGCGATATAACCGAATTCCACGCGAGCGGAAAGCTATTTGTTTGTTTGCCTGTCTTAAACGGCAGAACGGAGGTACTAATTAACGTGATTTTTTAACTGAAGGTAGTTGAGCGGATGGATAGTCACATAGGCTGCTTTTGAAGCCGCGAGTAAAAGCTAGTTCTCTATAAATTACATTTTTAAATACTACTCACAAAATAAAAAAAATAAAAAATATTTAAAAATATAAAAACAGGAGCCGACCAGTAGCGGGAGCATGGTCCAAGCTACCGGTGGTTTATTAGGGCTCCAGAGACAGAAACCTCCTCACGATACGTGCCGTTTCTAGGAGAAAGTATTATTATTATTTTTATATAATTTAGCTAGCCCGCGACTTCGGACGCGAAATCCCGTTTTTCCCCTTCCCGTTCGTGATTTTCGGTAAAAAGTAAAAAAAAATTGGATATAAAGTATCCTATGGCCGCCTCCTGATTCTAAGATATCTCCACACGAATTTTCATCCGAATCGTGTACGAGCGCCTGATGAATATGCCATAGCAACGACGTTCGCTTAGTATAATATTAGCCATTAAATAGTTGTATTCATTTTGTATATTCTTTATAGTTAACACCTTTTTTTATTTTCGTTATTCATCCACATTAAATTTCTACTTGCTGAGTATTTTTTGAGTCTTTTCCTACGATGCCCTGGCTATTACAAATTGATTAAGCCGTTTTTGAGTTATATAGGTATAGTGTAATAAGAAGATTCTTATTTCTTACTTAATAGAGAAGGGAAAAGAAGGCATATTGTGCTGACCTTGGAAAAAGGAAGAGAGTAAGTATATTTGATCATCATTAACCTATAAGTGACCACTGCTGACCCAAGACCTCTTCTCAAACAGAGAGAGTTTGAGAATTAATCACCACGCATACTTACAGGCGATTTCAAACTTACAATTAGAAATTATAAGCCTGGGTTTACTCATGATGTTGAGCTCACCAATTGTCAGTGGCATCTATATAATCTTAGAAAGTATTCATATAAGATAATATGTATATATGTATGTATCTATATAATCTTAGAAAGTATACATATAAGATAATACATATAAGATAATAAGAAAAATATATACATATAACTCGGAAAAAGTCACATTGGTACTTGCCATTAATAGATTTCAAGCCCGCACTCTTGTGCATGAGAAACGGGCGTCATAAACATCCGGGCTACCATATAACTATGTTCAAGTTTATTTATGTTACATTTATTAAACTTCACCATGTATTGTGTGTAACATGTTACCCATGATAGAACTTAAAATAATGTTAGTTTAAGTCCTATCTGTCAACTTCTACACTCCAAGGTTTAGCTTACTCTTGAAACCAATCTCAATGCCAATGCAATTGCAATCCAATAAAATCTCAAGAATTATTCAATGTCAACATTATACAACCACAATCATAGCTGTTAAAATAGCATTCTGAGTATGGAATATAAAGCTAAACTCAATACCTTTTAGTTCATTCAATATCCATGAAACACGCATGCAATGGGTGCTAGTGTTGTATCTCAAGAGAATTAATATCAATGACGATAGATTGGAATTGGATTCAAGAGTAAACCCTTGGACATCTGATATTGCAATCAATTCAACAGATCTTCAAAAATTGCAAGAAGAAGTACCTATAATGACAGTCAGTGACCAAGGTTACTCAATTAGATGTGTTGTTCTGTTTTGTCCTTTTTTTAAATGTTGCCCCACACTAGGACTTTCTCCTGTGTCATCGGTGCGTTTACAAACATACAAGTTTACATACACATGACACCCAGACCCGGAACAACAATCTATGGATCACACAAATAGTTGCACCGTGCAGGAATCGAACCCGCGACGCGTTGCACGGCAGCCGGTTGCCCAGCCACCGCACCAACCGTGCAATTTGGTGCAATAATCATTCTCATGTGAATCATAGATTCATTTTCATATATGTACATTTTAGTCATATTTATGTAATTTGCACATTTACGAAGCATATGTAATAGATAGACAGTCAACAGATATCACTTTGGTCGATTATTGGGTGGTTCAGAGACAGAACATGGTAGGAGCCTTAACACAAAAATAAATAACATTAACTTACTCTCATCATCAGGATCATTATCACTGGAGCTCTTAGGCTCTGCAGCAGCCTCTGCAGCGAGTTGTCCGATTCTTCCAAGCTTCAATAGCTGTTGTTTTTTACGCTCCTTCACGGGAACATAGGGTTCATAGTTATCCAGGTCTTCCTCAGATTCTGATGACTTTTCTTCACGTCTATACCTTTTAACCGGTGGCGGATCATCCTTCTTTTCTTCCTCCATTGTCAGTTTTTATTTAGAAACGTGTTATTTTGACTAAATTGTGTTTTGTGAAAATCGCCACAAGGATTTGTATTTTGTATTGTAAATAATAACCACAGATAATGAATTTTTGACGTGTGACGTTTGAGGAAATGTTTTTCGTTTTACGACAATTCTTAAGTTAGTATTTTGTGATAGGTTAATTATTGTTGATTTATATTGTTCATCAGTTTGTACTTATGTCTTCTTACGCCTCAAATTAATTAAGAACAACATTGCTGTTAAAATATTAATACAAACAGTATAAAATAGTGTTTCTGTAGACGTTTGGAAAAGTTTACATTTGGAATAACAATATTAGATTAGCATAATTAAGTTATCTATAATAGATATATACGAGAATATTTGGAGATAAGTATTTTGAAAATTCCATCCAAAATGCAACTTGAAGGAATGCACATTATTTACATTTTCCTGTCAAATTATCAAAGGACAGCAAGGAAGGAACGTGTTGTCAATACCTTGTCATCTGTCAAGTTGTCAAAATATGCAAGTGACACGTAACTTTATGTAATTAAATTACCTATTTATGACCTCCAAATGTGTGAAAACGTGAAAATTTTCTCATCAACCGGTCAATAATATAGTTAACAACATGTCAGATAAAAGTTTCGGCGACTGCCCGAGCAGGAACATTGTTAAAAACCCGCTTTTGTCCACCGCCGTCACGGGACTCTCTATCGAAGACTTGACGCATAACGCAGTTTTAATTCCCGTTGCGGCTACCCAGGGACTGATCACGGGATCAGGTGAGTACTATTATTTATTTTTATCCCATGTGTACGCGACAAGCACGTTTTTCGTGACGTTGAGCGTCGAAACAAGCCAAAATAACCGACATAGTTTTTCGTGATTCCAATGTCACAATTCGCGATTTTCACGCGAATTCTTTGCTATTAAACGGTCTTCAGTACTTGTTATAGTGTTAAATGATTCGCGAGTGTAATTTATTGGTGAATAAACTGTGTTAGTTACGTGTGAAAGTGTTTATTTGTGTTTTTATCAGAACCAGTGTTAGCAATGTCTTTTCTCTACAAGTCTTATAAAAATGCCCCCTTCGAATATGGGTTTACGCCAGAATTAAGATTCTCCTTTCGTTCTAAATTCAAAAGGATGGAGAAGTACTTTTATGATGCAACCCTTGTAAGTAAATAAATATAACAACATTGTCTTTGGATTTGCCCACCAAACAGGCTTGTTATCAAGCTATATATTTATGGTTTGTTCGTATATTTTCCTGTTATTGTTTATTTTATACCTGGTTGTATACTGAGGGCATAGCAGAGTTTATTTGCATCTATTAACATCAAAATTTCTTTTAAATATCCTAAATTATATTTTGCACCTGATTTTTATATTGTCTTTTCTTAATTTAGATATATGACAGAAAAGGTTTTCTATTCTATTCCTTTTATGCAACATCTCATCCTTTTATAATAACTGATGGTAAGGCCTGAGGGCAACATTACATGGTCACAATGTAGATTGATTCGTAAAATAAAGTAAGTTATCAGTGAATTGGGTAGGTGAAAGTAAATCCTTATTAGAGTTACATACTAATCTCTTATAGATAACATAACATCACGTCTTTTATCCTCGAAGAGGTTACATTACAGAACTTAATGCTACTGCACAATGTAATACCTACTTTTCCCTATTTATGTTATGAGTCCCATGTAATAGCGGGTGAAACTATTGCCATATACCGGGCACAATTCCAAACTCCGTGCTACTAATGAGAATTTTTTTTTAAACCCAGTAGTATTTTTCCCGATTCAGGAATCGAACCCGAGATCTCTTGCCCGGCAGCCGCACTTGCGAAACACTCGGCCATCGAGGCAGTCTCTTATAGATATATAATGATATTTAGACTGTAATATGTGTAAGTTTGTTGCCGAAATCCTTACGTAATTTTTAACCGACTTCAAAAAAAGGAGGAGGTTCTCAATTCGACCGTATATATGCTTTTTTTTTTTTTTTTTTTATGTTTGTTCGCCGATATCTCCGTTGTTTATAAACCGATTTTGAAAATTCTTTTTTTGTTAGAAAGGAGATAGTTCCAGAATGGTCCCATGATAAGGAAATCAGGATCTGATGATGGAAGACCAGGGAAACCGAGGGGAACTTTTAAAAATTATAGGGGTGACTAGGGCATTTGTTAATTTTTTCATTAAGTATTAAAAACCACTAAAATTTGATAAAGGTCTGGAGCCGATCTGATGATGGAGCCGAGAGCCAGTTGAGGGAACTCCTCAACGGTTAACAGTAGCTACCTTGTGTTTGGGTTTGATTAATTTGTATTGATGAGGACTTTACATCTGAGTGGGATGTAATTGTCAATAAGGGTCTGATGATGAAGTAGTACGATAGTTGAGGGAACTCCTCAACGGTTAACAGTAGCTGCCTTGTGTTTGGGTTTGATTAATTTGTATTGATGAGGACTTTACACCTGAGTGGGGTGTAATTGTCAATAAGGGTCTGATGATGAAGTAGTACGATAGTTGAGGGAACTCCTCAACGGTTAACAGTAGCTGCCTTGTGTTTGGGTTTGATTAATTTGTATTGATGAGGACTTTACACCTGAGTGGGGTGTAATTGTCAATAAGGGTCTGATGATGAAGTAGTACGATAGTTGAGGGAACTCAACGGTTAACAGTAGCTACTTTGTGTTTGGGTTTGATTAATTTGTATTGATGAGGACTTTACACCTGAGTGGGGTGTAATTGACAATAAGGGTCTGATGATGAAGTAGTACGATAGTTGAGGGAACCCTTAACGGTTAACAGTAGCTACCTTGTGTTTGGGTTTGATTAATTTGTATTGATGAGGACTTTACACCTTAGTGGGGTGTAATTGTCAATAAGGGTCTGATGATGAAGTAGTACGATAGTTGAGGGAACTCCTCAACGGTTAACAGTAGCTACTTTGTGTTTGGGTTTGATTAATTTGTATTGATGAGTACCTTACACCTGAGTGGGGTGTAATTGTCAATAAGGGTCTGATGATGAAGTAGTACGATAGTTGAGGGAACTCCTCAACGGTTAACAGTAGCTACCTTGGTTTGGGTTTGATTTATTTGTATTGATGAGGACTTTACACCTGAGTGGGGTGTAATTGTCAATAAGGGTCTGATGATGAAGTAGTACGATAGTTGAGGGAACTCCTCAACGGTTAACAGTAGCTACTTTGTGTTTGGGTTTGATTAATTTGTATTGATGAGGACTTTACACCTGAGTGGGGTGTAATTGACAATAAGGGTCTGATGATGAAGTAGTACGATAGTTGAGGGAACCCTTAACGGTTAACAGTAGCTACCTTGTGTTTGGGTTTGATTAATTTGTATTAATGAGGACTTTACACCTGAGTGGGGTGTAATTGACAATAAGGGTCTGATGATGAAGTAATACGATAGTTGAGGGAACTCCTCAAAGGTTAACACTAGCTACCTTGTGTTTGGGTTTGATTAATTTGTATTGATGAGGACTTTACACCTGAGTGGGGTGTAATTGTCAATAAGGGTCTGATGATGAAGTAGTACGATAGTTGAGGGAACTCCTCAACGGTTAACAGTAGCTACTTTGTGTTTGGGTTTGATTAATTTGTATTGATGAGGACTTTACACCTAGATGGGTGATGGTCATTAAAGGTCCAATGACGAAGTAGTATGATAGCTAAGGGACTCTTCAATGGTTAAGAGTACCACCCGGTGTTTAAACTTGCATAATGTGTATTGATGAAAACTTTGCATCCATGTGGGTTTTGTATAATATAATATATCAAAGTACTAAACTAAAAAGTATAAAATAAAATTAAAAAACTGCGTTTAAAAAAACCGACTTCAAAAACAAATGACAAACAAAAAGTAAAAACTAAAAAGGAAAAAAAAACTATTAGTGGTCATACGTACTTATAGCTTACACACCCACTGATAGGTTAGAAGTCGGTGCCACAAACCCCCAATAAAATATAAAGTAGACAAAAGTCACAGCTGGTATAATCCATAATAAAATTGTAAACAGCTCAATAATGTTAGGTATCTATTAAGGTTTTAATGAATATATAATAATTAGGTTTAAAACTTGTGGCACCGACTTCTAACCTATCAGTGGGTGTGTAAGCTATAAGTACGTATGACCACTAATAGTTTTTTTTTCCTTTTTAGTTTTTACTTTTTGTTTGTCATTTGTTTTTGAAGTCGGTTTTTTTAAACGCAGTTTTTTTTATTAATGCGAATGTATTTGTTTCTCTGTCGATATTATTCTATCTAAATTAAAATTATCCTTCATCGATGAGCATGCATGAAAAGATTGATGACTGTTGAGGAAGCGAAAGAAGTTGGGCGTTCCTTAGTCTCCTTTCTTTTTCTTTTTCCGTCTACTTGACAAATATTGGTATTACATTGTTCTCACATAATTGTACTCAGCGAAAGAATGTAACTAAATATTGTATTGTGAACATGATTGAAAAAGAGTAACTTATGGAGTTTGGGACACACTGAGACGGGCATGTTATAGCAACCTTCTTTGATTGTTCTCATTTCAAGGTGGTTGTGTATTTTATTGTTGGTTTAAACTGTCAAACACCGAGCGGTCACCGGTGACCGCAACCTATTGTTCTTTAAACTGTCAAACACCAAGCGGTCACCGGTGACCCCAACCTATTGTTCTTTAATTGTGTCTATAAATACGGTACTCGACGAGTTAATTGTGTCTATAAATATGGCACTCAACAAGTTAAACTGTCAAACACCGAGCGGTCACTGGTGACTGCAACCTTTTGTTCTTTAATTGTGTCTATAATGACGGTATACCATGGTACTTTTGCAATTGTTCTTAAAACTTATATATCTACATTTTATATTGATTGTGTAACATTTGATAAAAATATTGCAATGTCCTACTCATTAGCACTTTATCAGCAAGTGATGAGGTCATGTCTGCTCTGAACTGATCTGTTGATGAATCATAGTTTAGCTAGCTTTTAGTCTGAAAATCTATATGCATAAAAGAATTGGAGATTTTTAATTTCAAAGGGAATTCTTGGGGTTAGTGTTGCCAAGTAGTATTGTGGTATTTCCTTATTGGTCAAGCGGTGATGTTGGGTTTGGTTCTAGATTTAGGCACAATGCAAAGGGGATGTTCTCGTGCATGGGAGGGCGGGCGTGAAACCTACCAACGACAAGTACCAATGTGACATTTTCCGAATTATATGTACTTTCTAAGATTATTCAGACACCACTAACAAACGGTGAAGGAATACATCGTGAGGAAACCTGGGTTTATAATTTCTATTTATGGGTTTGAAATCGCCTTAATGCTCAAACCTTCTTCGTGTGAGAATAGGTCTTTGGTTAGCAGAGACCTCTTATAGGCTGTTGATGATGATGAACCCTGTCTAGCCGAAAGTAGGTCTGTACTTTATAAATATTTGCAATTGCACAGTGAAGTAATAAAATATATGAATAAAATCATGTAATAAGGGCTCGCACACAAAACTGCGATGCGACGCCGCATCGCAAAAACATGCGAGCTCCCTCTACGCATCGCAAGAACTTGCGAATTGATTCGCATCGCGCATCAAAATCTTATCTTCTCAAAATCTTCTTTGTTTCTTTTTCATGTATCTCCTAAGCAATAACAGAAGTGCACACTTCTTTTTACGATCCATGTCGCGACCTAGTTTTCAATTTAAAATACGTTTAGTACGGTTGACGGTCTTCGAAGGAATGGTCACCCTGGGAGACGCCTTGTCGCTCGAAATCGTATCGCAGCAATTCGCATCGTAACTTTTTGCGTTGCGAATTTGCATCGCATTTCAGTTTTATGTACGAGCCCTAATACCAACGGTTTTTTTTATAATCCACCATAAACAACACTGCGCTGTTGCAATATTTCAACAACCGCGTCCATTTTACGATCAATAAAAACACAATCTTTCAATACAAACTTTTATTTCATATATTGTTTAATCTTTTATACAAAATATGGCGATTGTTTCTTAATATTATTTATTTATTATTATACTACCCGTATTAGTATGAAGAAATAATAATTAAAGGGAATACTTTCATTTTTTTTGTTTGTTAATATTGTAGGGTGATAACTGATAATATTAGACATGGATTAAATAGATGATAAAAAGGTGGAATCGACGAATGTATTTTGTATCCTTAATTTTACCATTTTTTTACATATCTGGTGCATCAGTACCTAATTAGAAATACCTACACCGTGAAATCTATTTAGTTTCCGTCCCGAAGTAAAATGGTTGTGTCTCGATAATACAATAGTTTTACAAAGAAATAAAATGTTTAAAACAAAAAGTAATAACTGGTGAACTATTGCTGAAAGCAAACTTCGAAAGCGCATACGAACTCATTACACGCCATGTGATTCTCATAGAGGTATTTCTCGTCGGGTGGCACGTGCGATGCGAATAGTGCCTACAAGTTTAGGTACGTGTAGTGTTTCAAGTGCGTATTTCCATGATTTGTTTTAAACATAAAATATGACATGTTTATTGTTTTGTTTTTACTTTATACATCGAAAGTACTCCTTATGGCAAGATGTTTTGTCGCGGGACGGAAACGAAATAGATTACACGTTATATTTGAATGTTTAAATTAAATACCGTCTAAAATTGGACCAGTTTGATTCTTACACTATTTAAAAACTACTTTTCAAGGATAGGCTACTTTTTATACTAATATTACCAGAGGATCGGGACAGAATTGTAAGAAAGCACTTATATTCCAACACAGCTAAGTATTAAGTATTTTAAATGTGGGAAAGTCATGCTTCGGCACCAATGAGCCGGCTCGACCGGAGTGATACCACGGCCTCACGGAAAACCGACGTGAAGCAACGCTTGCGTTGTTATTCGTCGTGTGAGTGAGGTTACCGGAGGCCCAATTACCCCCTCCCCTTCCCGCAATCTTCCCAATCCTTGAAACCCCAACGATCTTCAAACTCCTAATCCCCAAAAGGCCGGTAACGCATTTGTAATGACTCTGGTGTTCCAGGTGTCCATGGGCGACGCCAATTGCTGACCATCAGGTGACCCGTCCGCTCGTTTACCGACTTATGCTATAAAAAACGTAGTTAAGATTATACCAATCATAGACACCATTTTTATCGTCATCATTAATTGCTATTATCACACAATACTATGTTCATCAAAATCATTTGTGATTATTTTGATACTACATATTTTCACCCTACAATATTATGTTAAATATCTAGAGGCTTAATCTGTCAAATACCAAGCGGTCACCGGTGACCGCGACCTATTGTTCTTTAATTGTGTCTATAAAACCGGTACTCGACGAGTTAAACTATAATAGCTAATAAATAAAAAAAAATATATAGTGTTGTCACATTAAGGACTAACTTTAATAGAGGAAGTGAAAAATAAATAATTTTGAACTTCTTTTTTAATGTTGTAATTATTTTTCTTATATTTATAGTTGTGACATTTTTTTTTATTTTGAAAATAGAACGTATTTTTTTATATGTTTTATCTGTCAGGTTTAATAGTCTGTGGCTTTTTATACCGTATCGTTTTTATTAAAAAAAAAAACCGTTAATTCCGTTTAAAAATATAACGTTCGAATTGCTCAAAATTATTTGTGAACTTTTAAACTCTCTAATAAAGTTTTTATAAAATAAAAATTAAATAATAATAATAATGAATGAAACAAAAATGGCGTTTATTATATTAATTATAAATTTAAATTATTTTAAAACTGGTTCTTAACGCTTAAACACTATTTTAAGTACTTTTAGTGCATATATTTTGAGACGTTTATTTAAAAAAAAAATTGTGACTGAATTTACGTATTTTTTTTTGTTTATATACTAGCTGTCTAATGGCCCATTGTTCTATTAACGAAACAAGTACATGTTTTTTATATGTTTCAATAGTAAGTTTTGCTATTCACGACAGAAGAATCCAATAAAGCAAATATCATCAAAATCTATCCAGCTGTTCCCGAGTTATACGCGTAACAAACAATCTCATCCGATTCACATTCAATTTATTCAATTGATTTTCATATTTGTTAATGAAGGGACCTCTAGAGTCGAGAGCATCCGTCCGTCTTTAAATTGATACCCACATATTCGTGTACAGTCAACGAATTAGAACTATGACCCACTAAATCGTAGTAGTTTTTAGTGGCGCTCTGTTTTTCTCCTTCTATAGACCAGTGTTTGTTGATCTTGCACACGAAGTTTCCAATACTTTCATAATAATGTAGACAATCTAGTTTTGTTATGGCATCGAGCATTTCTTTCTTTGTTGAAACAAAGAGTTCCCTTTTTCTTGTATAGAAGCACTATTTTTATGGATTGTCAGTATGTATGTGAGCACCATGTTAGACAAAAAGATTTTTTTATTTTAGTAAGTTTTGTAATTTGTATAACGCGTCAAGCGTGTCTTTGCATTGTTCTCACATATACGTACAGTATTGGAATATGTATCAGAGACATTGTAGAACATACTTTTTTAAAAAGAGTAACGAATGGAATTTCTTGCTCGTTCTTCTCCGTTCGAATCTACATTTTGGAATAAGCACCTAGCTTCACCTAGCTTCACTGACGGACTGACTGACAGACTATTATTTATTTTGTATTTGTTGACGTTTCAAAGGTATCAAATTATGGTTTAATTGAAATGAATGATTTGACTTTGACTTTGAAAACTGCTTAAAATTGTGAGATGTAATTTTGACTACATACTGACACAAACAGATTTTAATTTCGCGTACTGAGGTCTTAGTATGAATTTGATTTACGTTTAAAGTATTCGAAACGCTGTGATTGGTTGCTTCATTGGTGCCGGCCAATCAGAGTGCCTCTGATCGCTCGCTCGCATTTCGCGTGCGTGCGCGTAATTTTTTAATATACACACGCCGTCTGCGCCCTCGCTAGATATGAACGTAATATTTGATAGGTATTTCTGATGTTAATTTCTTATTAGTGTAGTGTAATTTTTATAAATGTAATCTTAGAAACTTTTCTACAAAGGGCCTGTGTGTGAGATTTATCGAACCAGCTAGTATCCTGAATGAACTATTGCCCTCTTTAAAACATTAACTTAAATAAACCAGTTGTTTTCGGTTTTAAAATATAAGTTATTCTATTCATAACTTAACCTTAAACTAAGGGTAACTTATTTATTAATCACTTCAACTTATCATCACATAGTTTCCTCATTCATATTTTTGTGCATAAGCCTTTTTTCAAAAATGTTTGGAACCTCTTTCTAGTGTTTTCCTAATAAATATCGTGAGACATACTTAGGGCCGATTTTTCAATCATCAGTTAATTCTTATCCTCTCGCGCGCCTCTCGTACACACGTGTAAATATTTTAATAGAAAGTCGAATTAACTATTCTGTTCAATCAAATAAAGAACGGGTTGCAAACTTGAAAATATACGTCACAGAAAAAATATCCAATCGGTGCGCGTTTCTCGTACACCCGTGTGAACAATTGCGTTATGGGCACTCAACTCTCTCGTACGAGAAACACGCGTGAAGTTAAATATTGACATTTGACAGTTTTTAGTATGGAAGAATTGTCAAATGTTCAAAGTTATTCCCCAGTAAAAATTTATGGACCCTGAATTAACTAAATATAACGATTATCTCACAAGTACACTGAGAATAGCTCTACTAGTTTCGAGTCACATAGGAACTCTTCCTCATGAGCAGTGTCTGGTCGCGGTGACGTCGCACACTGCCCTCTGTTACTCGAAACTAGTAGAGCTTGTCTCAGTATATTTACGTGAGTAACTCGTAATTTTTAGTTACCTCTTTCTAGTGTTTGTCTTATGTGAATTTAAAAATGTCAATTATTTGTAATTCTTTTCCTGTACCTACAGCGAATTTTAAAGTATTGCTTTTTAAAAAAAATATAAATTTTAAAGTTCTTGTGGGCATCGACATATATTAAAAGACATGCTTTAGAGATGAGAATTGTGGCTCTCCGAAAGAAAGAGAGGAAACGAAGTTTCGGTCTATCTTTGTCTCTCTCAAAATAGTACCGTAGTTAAGACGTTATGAGCGAGAAAGAGATAGCGCTAGACCGAAAGCAAAGGCCATCTCTCTCACTCTTTTCAAACCAAAAAAATACTGCAGATTATACGCGTACGGCATGTCAATTAGTATATGTCGATGCTTGTGTGTGTAAAATGTTGATAGTTTAAAAGAGGTTCGTATTATGAAGGTGGTTTCATTTTCAAAATTGCAATAATTTCGATTTAATTTCTCGATGTATTGTATGATGGTAGTTCGCGCGATGACTTCCGTTTCCTCACGCACCATACGATGAGGAAGATGAGCAGGGCTAGCAAGGCTATGGCCAGGAGAACTCCGAGAACGATAGCTGCTATCGCCGCCCCTGTTAGGTGGTCTGAAAGAGAAGGAGATATTTAGTGTCACACATACCCACATAAGTTGGCCGGTCATGCGTATTTAAAACAGAAACGAATACTTTGGACGATATATTGATTTGAAATGTCGCGTGACGTCACTTCTATGTACATTTTATACATACATATTACGTTTTAGCCCCTACTCCTAAACTTTGATTCGTTTTATCTAAGTACTAGCTATTTCCGCGCGGTTTCACACGCTCTGCTCAGTTCCTATTGGTCATAGCATGATGTTTTATAGCCTATAGCCATCCTCGATAAATGCGCTATCCAACACAAAAATAATGATTCAAATCAGACTTGTAGTTACGGAGATTAGCGCGTTCAAACAAATAAACAAACAAACAAACACTTCCGCTTTATATAATAGTAAATAAATAAGATCATTTTAATATACATCAAAATAAAAAATACGTGTCTAATATTTTCCATTACCGAAAAGGCGGACTAATTAGATTTTTAATTTTCATGCCCTGTTATCATCCCTATTGTCTGTCAGTGAAGCTCTCTTTGTGTCCCAGACATGTAGCGAGCTGTATCTAGGTATACCTGGATTTATAGTGGGTTATAAATCGATACTGGTGCACTTTGGACGCATGCGGGTTGACACTTGAAGTGGGGGGAGGTAAAGGTCATTGCAGAACAGGTAGGGAGCTCGTTGTAAGAGGATTTTTTGTATTGATAAAAGGATGTGTGTCTGATTGGATTGCGAGGACACCGGTGACCGCAACCTATTGTTCTTTAATTGTGTCTATAATGACGGTACTCAAAGGGTTAAATTATGATTATAATATGATTTTATTTAGTACTAGCTTCTGCCCGCGACTTCGTATGCGCAATCCCGTTTTCTCCCGTTCCCGTAGTATTTTCAGGACTTTTTCTGTCTTAAGAACCTTTTTTTAATAATAACAAATACAACTTAAAATAATTAGTGAAATCGGTCCAGCCATTCACGTGTGATGCCGTGACCAAGGCAAAGTGGTATATTATATAAATAGACTATAGATTTATTGAGTTTATTTCACACTTTAAAGTTTCTCTCATCATCACGTCTTTTATCCCCAAAGGTAGGTAGGTAGGCAGAGGTGCACATTACGGCACTTAATGCCACTGTACAATGTAACACCCACTTTTCACTATTTATGTTGTGAGTCCCATCTGTCCCATGTAATAGGGAGTGATCCACGCCTGAAAAAGGCCGTTAAGCTGTGCCTGTTATTTCATAAGTTCTGTATGTATTACCTTAACATGCAAATAAAGAGTTTGAGTTTGAGCCTATTGCCATATACCATCGGAGACAATACCAGACTCCGTTCTCCTGCTGAGATTTTTTTTTTAAACCCAGTAATACATTGCCAGACCCGGGAAAATAACCCGAGCCCCTTGCTCGACAGTCGCACTTGCAACCACTCGGCCAACGAGGCAGTCTGATAGAAAAATGAGTATGATTATACTTACTAGAACTATCAATGATATAGCTATTCGTGTTGCCAAAAGCGTCCACGGCGTTCAACAATACTCGTGGCGCGCAACAGGTTGCTCTGTATGTAGCTGTGACCTCCTGACGGGTTCCCGAGATGAAGTCACTCGTATACATGACTCCAACTGGAGATGATGTTAGCCGGAGAAGACCTGGGGATCAGACAAATGGTTTATTAGCCTTAAATAGCCAAAAGTTAAATCATCTAGTTCAATTATTATTATCTGCGAATTGGGATGATGACAGAGTATGAAAATGAAAAAGCTAATTAGTCTGTCAGTTAGGTAATGAAAAAATATTAGACACGTATTTTTTTATTTAAATAGATTTATTGTGAAAAGGTTCCTTATTCGTCATAATTATTTTCATCAATTTACTTTTTTTGTAAATTATAGAGGTAGTATGACTGGGTCAGGATGTGGCATTATCATTCCCAGAACTTACCTGACTGACTATCCCTGGTAATAATAGTGGTGGACCAAGCATGTTGAGCGCAGTCATCACCAGTCCTGCCTAGACAGGTGCCCTGGAAAGTATGCCTTATCTCCGGAGCAAAGGTGTCGATAGGTTCTGCTGAATTGGATACGTAGACGTAGGCGGATAAGGATACTTGCTCGCCTCCTGTTGAACCTGGTGGACGGAGAGAAATTTAGGACTGGTTAGTGTTATTATTTTGGTGTGCTGTTGGTCAGTTTTAGAATTCGGTCAACATCTATAAATGAAAAAAAAAATGAAAATGTATTAATGAAAAGACAGCTAGGCGGCGTTAATCGCTTACCATCAGGTGATCCGTCTGCTCGTTTGCCTCCTAATCCACAAAAAAGAAATTGCGTTCCGTGATGGGCTATAAGTTCAATTCCTTATTTACTCCGGTTTAGCGAACTCTAGTTATAGAAGTTCTTTATTCAGTCCAGAGATGTCGCCTCTGGTAGGTTAGGAATATTTAAATTAAAATAGTATTGGACTTACCATACGCGGTAAAAGTGATGGTGTCTCTCAATCCTGGTTGTGCTGATGGGGATATGACGAGGCTTACTATCACGTTGACTGTCTGTCCAGGTGTCACGGTTTGACTGGAAGAAAATAAAGTTAATTAAATTCAAAGCAATACTTTCAATAAATCTATACTAATATTTTAACGAGGAAAGATTTGTACCTATTTATGTATGTTTGTATGTTTGTATTGAATAGGCTCAAAAAGTACTGGGCCGATTTAAAAAATTCTTTCACCAATAGAATGATACATTCTTCCAATTTGAATGAAGATGTCAGTTATTGAAATTGGCTGACAAAGACACCTATACAACATCCTCCAAATATTTTTAAGTGTCAGAGAGCCATGCTTCGGCACTGCTGGGCCGGCTCGACCGGAGTGATACCACGGCCGAGCAAAAAACATAGTGAAACAAACAGTGCCAGTGTTGTGTTTCGTCGTGTGACTGAGGTTACCGGAGGCCCAATTACCACCTTCTCCCCAATCTCTGAATCCCCAAAAATCCTTAAACTCCTAATCCTCAATGGCCGGTAACGCACTTGCAACGCCTCTGTTGTTCCACGTGTCCATGGGCGACGCCCGTTTACCGGCTTAGTTATCCCATAAAAAATCTCTTCAATAAAGGGCCTCCCGTAGTCTCACACGGATTTCATCACGATTCATTTGTTTCATACTAGTTTTCTGTGGGGCCGTGGTATCACTCCGATCCAGCCGACACCGCATTACCGAAGGATGGCTTTCACGTTGAAAATGAATGCCCTTATGAGATAAACTAAACATTACCTGGTAGGATTGATTCCAGTCAAAAATCTCAGTTCTCCTGTGGCTCCGAAATTGAACCTTACTGACTGTTCTCTGTAGTTTGTGACTTCGAAATGAACCTGAAACAATGAAAATTAACAATAGAGTGTATTTTCCCTTACATTTTGATTTTGAACATGCGTGAATATCGTGTGGCGCGTCGCGTTCCGCGCGCTTCAAAGAACCATCAGACCACCACAGAAGGGGGCCAATAAGGCTGATGCCGATACGGAGCCGCGGAGAACTTAACGGGTTACCGGGGCTCCGGCTCGAAGTGCAAGAGTAGGAACGAGGTGGTTTTTAGTCAGTGAGAGTCTGACACTTTCTCGGCGCCTAACCCAAGCGGGAGATTTAATTCGATGATTTTCACCTCTTAAAAAAACATGCGTGATGTAATGGTAAGGAAAATTACCTGTAAACTTTCTCCTGGAGCTCCATATAACCTGCTAGCCAGCCCAATTTGAACAGCAGTTAGCACTATTCCTTGTTGATTAACAACCTGGAAAGAAAAAGTACCAAATCAGTATTACACGTCTGCTCATGACGATACCTAAGTACGTGTGTCGCCTGGACAGTCCCCGCTACCATCAGTTTACTGGACAATCTCTTTACATGAGCTGCTGTTTACATGACATGAACATTAGCTCATGACGATACCTAAGTACGTGTGTCGCCTAGACAGTCACCGCTACCATCAGTTGACTGGACAATCTCTTTAAATGAGCTGCTGTTTACGTGTGAACATTAGCTCATGACGATACCTAAGTACGTGTGTCGCCTGGACAGTCACCGCTACCATCAGTTGACTGGACAACCTCTTTACATGAGCTGCTGTTTACATGTGAACATTAGCTCATGACGATACCTAAGTACGTGTGTCGCCTGGACAGTCCCCGCTACCATCAGTTGACTGGACAATCTCTTTAAATGAGCTGCTGTTTACGTGTGAACATTAGCTCATGACGATACCTAAGTACGTGTGTCGCCTGGACAGTCACCGCTACCATCAGTTGACTGGACAACCTCTTTACATGAGCTGCTGTTTACATGTGAACATTAGCTCATGACGATACCTAAGTACGTGTGTCGTCTGGACAGTCCCCGCTACCATCAGTTGACTGGACAATCTCTTTACATGAGCTGCTGTTTACATGTGAACATTAGCCTTTAGAAAAAATACTGCTATAATCATACCTGTGACATAGCTCTGCTGTAGGGTTGAGCACTTTGGTTCTGATTAAACAGCAGTTGAGCATTGTATGCCCTAGTATCAAATTCCTCCATTTTCTCCAAGTCGTTCGATGAGTCAGAATACACCATAGATGCTGAGCGTCCCATACGAATTTCTGGTTGGTTCAGAGGTCCTGATAACCTCATGAATGGTTCACCTGAAACATGGAAATTAAATGATTGAAATTGGCTACAAAATATCATACCACGTCCATATTTTTAGGATTAGCTAGATGTCGAATCTTTCCAACCAATGGAAATGCAGTTACGTCACACATGAATCCCTTTGTGAATTTTCTGCACCGCTATGTTATAACTAGCTCTTTGTGTGATCCACATATGTATTGTTGTTCCGGGTCTGGGTGTCATGTGTATGTGATATTGTATGTTTGTAAACGCACTCACGACACAGGTGAAAATTCAGGTGTGGGGCAAAGTTTAAAAAAAAAACAAAAAAAGCTGTGCCCGCGACTACGTTCGCGTGAAATAGTGATTTACTGCGCGTACCCCGTAGGTGATAGCGTGATAATATGTAGCCTATATGTTGACCTGACCTATTAGTAATAATCATACAAAATTATGAGCAAATCCATGCAGTACTTTTTGAGATCATCCCGGACTTACATACAGACAAACAGATCAAAATTCTAAAGATCATGTTTTTGGCATTAGTGTCGACTGTAGATCACGCCCCAAATAGATATTCTTTAAAAAAAAGTATTTAATGTAGTTTTGACTTTTCTACGATTTTATTATAATTATGTATTTTTTTAAGGGGGGAAACTCATCGAATGACTGCTCCCGTCTGGGTGAGGCGGGAGGGAGTGTCAGACTCTTACTGACTAAAAACCACCCCGTTCCTTCTCCTGCACGTCGAGCCGGAGCCCCGGTTACCCGTTAGGTTCTCCGCGACTTATACGTATAGATACTAGCTTCATTCCTCGCCTCGTCCGCGACAAAAAGTAGCTTATGTGTTATTCCAGACATAATCTATACCTGTTTTAAATTTCCACCTGATCTCTTCAGCTGTTTTGACATTATTAAGTAACAAACACACATACAAACTCACGAACTTTCGCATTCATAATATTACTCATGTCAGTATTAAGAGACATATGAAACATGATTGATTCTGCAACGTTTTTACCCGACTGCCAAAGAAGGAGGGTAATGTTTTTGAAAAATAGTCTTTGAACTTACCTCTCAGATCTCTGCCGACGATTTTAGCGTAGACCTTAGCTGCCTTCACTGGTGGTAGCGCAACATCAGCTACCAGCTCCACTATGGGGTCGATCTCTTCATTCTGACCGTCTCCAGTTATGGGTTGGTAGCTGTTGGAAGAAAATATTGTTACTGTACAATTCCATGTCCAAAATCTTACGTCTTGTGTCGCTACAAGACTCAAGTCCCGACCGCACAAACTCAAACTCAAAAGCATTTATTTCAATTAAACCATAATTTTGTACTTTTGAAACGTCAACAAATATAAAATAAATAATAGTCTGTCCGTCAGTGAAGCTAGGCGCTCGTTCCAAAATGTCGATTCGAGTGAAGAAGAACGAGCAATAAACTATTCGTTACTCTTTTAAAAAAAGTCTTTTCCACTGCTCTGATACATATTCCAATATTGTACACACATGTGAGAATAATGTAAAGACATACCTGACGCAACATACAAATAACAGAACGTACTAAAATAAAAAAAACAAAACCAAGAGAAAACAAATATATTACGTCTGACATGGTCCTCACATATGTATACTGACAATCCATATAAAATAGTGCTTAACAAGAAAAAAATAAATAAATAAACTCTTGTTTAAATAAAGAAAGAAATGCTCGATGCCACAAGAAAAATAGATTGCCTTCATCGGAATCAAAGTATTAAATTATATATTATCGGAATCTGAACTAGGTACTGACTACATGCACTAGGACGGAACTGCGGCGGTTCTTATTTTAACTACGTAAGGTTCGCAATTTTCGGCATGAATAAGGTGGGCGCTAGCAATTGTTCGGAGTCTTTTTATCCGATTGTAGAAAGGATAGTGTTTTAAATTATGCAACGATGAAATGAGACTTACCTGAATGGTAGTTTAGCCAGCTCCGTGCTGTACTCGTCCACCAGCTGCGACTCCCTGACGCTGGCCACTGGTCCCGTCACTCGGAACTTGAGTGTTTCTGCAAGGGAAGGAAGTTCAAGTTTATGGATTTGCTCGTCTTAGAAACTTTAGTAGGAGATCACAGATCAGAGGGCCAAGCACGAATAACTATCGCATTCGTATCGAGCAAGTTAAGCGTTCTGATTGGTTACTTCACTTGAGCCGGCCAATCAGAGCGCCGAACGCGCTCGATACTATTACGTTACGAATGCAATAGTTATTCGTGCTTGACACTCAGTTAATTTGTCTCGTGGGTAAGCCAGGCTTCAGCACGAATAGGCCGGTTCGACCAGAGTCTATCGACGTGAAACAACGCTTGCCGTGTGAGTTAGGTTACCGAAAACCTACCTCTAATTCAAAATCCGCCAACGTACTTAGGTGATCCGTTTGATCGTCTGCCCCATCCCCCATATACCTCTTAATATGTAGTTTGAGATGTTTTAGAACATTTTGTGTCTAGTCTATATTCTTTTTTAATTTTCGTTAATTTATAATTTCTCTGCTTCGTTCGCCGAGTGGTCGCAAGTGCGACTACCGGGCAAGGAGTCTTGGGTTCGATTCACAGAGTTTAAAAAAAATCTCAGTAGTAGCACGGAGTCTGGAATTGTGCCCGGTATATGGCAATAGGCTCACCCTATATGGGACTCGTAACATAAATAGTAAAAAGTGGGTGTTACATTGTACAGTGGTATAATGTGCACCTCTGCCTTCTCTTTCGGGGATAATGGCGCGATGTTATGTTATAATTTCCTGACGTCTCTGTTGTCTATGCCATTTCCTTGTACCTATACTGATCGCAGTTCAGTCTATCTATCATTACTGATTCTAGTAAAGACACTTGACCTCTTCAGATAATATTCACACGTTTGTGGACACGATCGAGTTAGATAGTGTTTACTATTATAATTTATTTATCTAGGCATCATTTCTAGCGCTCCGCGCGCATCTCAAAGAGCTATCGGACCACCACGGATGGGGCCCAATAGGGATGATGCCGATACGGAGCCTCGGAAGACTTAACGGGTTTTCGGGGCTCCGGCTCGAAGTGCATGAATAGGAACGAGGTGGTATTTAGTCAGAGTCTGTCACTCCTCCGCCTTACCCAATCGGGAGGAGTCATTCGGTGATTTTCCCCCCTTAAAAAAGGCGTCATTTTTGGCCGTGTGGTAATGGCAGAACAGGAGACATTACCATTCTTTTTTTTTATTTCGGTGACGGGAAACCTTCAAATGGCGTCTAGCTTTTTGGAATGTCGGATTTCTACCTCACTAAAACAACCCCGGTGGCAATCGTCAGCACCTGTATTATGAGGCACGGGGACTTCTGATGGACATGCTCCAGAGCACCCATTGGGGCAAGGCCTATTGCTGCACATTCCTAGGGAGATGTGCTTCTCCCATGAGTCTCGCTGTGCAAATTGCATGGCAGCACGTCACCACTGTGCTGCTGTCTTCCCTGAGGCCACCAGATGGGCACCTAAAGTGACTGTAAGCGTCGGTGGTCCCAAGTAGCTAAAACTATACGAAGCCGCGGAAGGCCTAACGAGTTACCAGGGGTTCTGGCTCAAAGAGCAGGAGTAGGAACGGGTTGGTTTTCAGTCAGTAAGAGCCTGACGCTCCCTCTCGCCTAACCCAAGACGGGAGAAGACATTGGATGACTATTCCCCTCAAAAACGAAAAAAGTAGCTAAAGCTGATACTTTTATATCTACCTATCTGTTGATTCATGTAACTAGTTCGTTATGTTGATCTTTTCAAAGTCCAATTTTGAATGACGTTACCTACTATTATGTACTTATTACGTATTTATTTACCGTGAATCATTTGTTTTTTCTATTATTATTATTGTAATCGTCACAACGCGGCAATTTATCTATGTTAATTCGTCAGAGAAAAGTTCAAATTCCATGCCATTGTTACGTAAAGATATTGTAAATAATTGTGTTCTTGTGAAAATCACATGCAATGCAAATATGTTGTGATGTTTTTATAGAATAAGCCGGTAAACGAGCAGACGGATCACCTGATGGTAAGAAATCGGCGTCGCCCATTGACACACGGAACACCAGAGGCGTTATAAGTGACCTGACCTGACCTGATATAGACCTAAAGGTCTTTAGGGAATTTTAGGATCGTTGTAGATTCAGGGATTGATGTGGTTGGGGAAGGGGGGGGGGGGGTAACTGGGCCGCCTGGGGGGGGGGGATAACCGCACTTACACGACGAAACACAACGCAAGCGTTACTTGCTCGTGTGTAAGAGCTCTCAAGGATTGAGGATTTGAGGATTGGGAGGATCTAAACTAACCCTTACTTGCACTGTTATGAGTCACATATTTGTTTGATGATTAGGAGTTCCTTTAAAAAAGAGTCGACTCCTGGGCTATGCTCCCTAAGCGAGTTGGAGATCGCAGTATAGAAGGTTCAGGTTTATCAGAAAGGGCTGCTGCACGGTCTCTGTCAAATGTGTAGTACCTTAATCGGATATAGGATACCCACGGGAAGAGTGTGGGTGGTAACAAATGCCTTCTATTCTGCCGTCACCAGACGACTTCATGTTATAGATAAGTTAATATTTTAATCTTACACATGTGTCTAAAACGTCATATTTATTTAAATAGGAAGCTGTGACGTAAGCAGAGTCAGAGGTTATCATCTAGTCTAGTTGTCAATGGATGCGAGGAATACATCTATACTAATATTATAATGATACACAGTTTGTTTGTGTTATTTAATATATATAAATCTCGTGTCACACTGTTTGTCCTCAATTGACTCCTAAACCACTTAACCGATTATAATAAAATTCGCACACCATGTGTAGTTCGATCCAACTTGAGAGATAGGATAGTTTAAATCTCAAATTATAGTCGTAATTTTAATTTATTGCTTATTATTTATCTGTTATTATTTGACAGTTACAATTATCTGTTAACTCCAAATGATTCTAACAGATGTCGATACCTTTCGACTGGGTTGAGTAAGTAATCAATAGATGGCGCTGCTATGGGGGTTTTTTTTTAATAGAAGGAGTGATTCTTAAGGAAGGTTTTTATGTATAATGCATGCATATTGCACCCGTGCGAAGCCGGGGCGCGTCGCTAGTATTATTATAATAACTATCGTGAGACATACTAAATAAACTAAAAAACGCGGGTTCATCATCATCAACAGCCTATAAATGCCCACTGCTTAGCAAAACCTCTTCTCACACGGAGAAGGTTTGAGCATTAATCACCACGCTTGCTCAATGCGGGTTGGCGATTACTAACTCAGTAGTAGCACGGAGTCTGGAATTGTGCCCGGTATATGGCAATAGACTTACCCCCTATTACGTGTTATGTATTATTTTTTATTGGCTTCTTAACACATCGGATGCCGTATCGGACAGTAATGACTGACGAAGCATTAGTCTTTAACAATTTTTTTCGGCAGTCAAAGGTTCAAATTAAACTGACCACAGAAATTAAATTATAATGTGAACTAAAATCTGAATAATGCTGATTATAAAGTATCAAGTATACGCTGATAACAGCATTTTATATGACCTACTAAACAATATTATTACAGTTTGGTATATCTGCACTCTAATACCTGTTATAAGTATAAGTCATAATGTGAAACAGTAAACTGTAACCACCTTTCTGAATAAATATTATTATTATGTATGTCTTTACCATTCACGGGACCACAGGGTCCCGGTCATTTCGGAGGCGTACGAGGGGCCGAAGCCAACTGCGCAGAGGCCCTTTAGACAACTTTAATATAAATGTAATGGACACACAAACCGGCGACTATCCCTGTATGCACTATGGAAATGCACCCAAGGACAGTCCCCGGTTAGTGTAGGACTATTGTGGATAATGGAAAAAAAAAAGTAGGGCTATGGATGGGTTGCTGTGGACTGGTAAATTAGGAACTATGGATGACTATGGCACCTGCCGAAACAATGTAATTTTTACACGTAAAAATGGCAGGCGGAGACTCGCCAACTCACCGACCGGGCCCCGGGAATGGTTGCTAGATATAGCAACAGAGGGGCAACGAGAATGTGAGTGGCTGAAGGGTTAAGAAACTACCACCGCTTTCTACTCAGATCATCTGCTCCAGCCGAAGCCTCCTGCATCCCTGGCCCACTCGCGACTTACGAATAGTTTCTTACCCTCCGAGCAGGATCACTGCTCTCGCGACTCCACTCTGGACGGCCAATGAAGGCAAGCCAGAGGTGGGAGACCTGTTCCTTGTCATCATTCACTCCAGCCAGCCAATTAAGGCAAGCCGGAGAAGAAGGAACGGTGACCTCTCCCTGGAGCACTCGGGATGATGGTAGCCCGCGGGATCGCTAATGCCCGTCACCTCGCCTCAAGGTGCCCTGCGGGCTTATTATTATTATTATAAATAATACAGTGATATGTAATAATAATAATATATATATAAATATCAAACCGTTTGTTTGTTTGGTGTCGACGCGATAAAGAATTACACGTAGGGCCGGCTCGACCGGAGTCATACCGCGGAATCACAGAAAACCGCCTTGAAATAACGCTTGTGTTTTGCGCAGCCGTGTGAGTGAGGTTACCGGAGGATCAATCTTCCCTCTCATTCGTCCCCTATCCTGGAATTCCTAAAAGGCTGGGAACGCGTTTGTAAGTCTAGTGTGGGCGATGTCGATTGCTTACCATCAGGTGCTCCGTCGGGTCCGTGGCTTAGGCCCCCAGTGGTCGACGCACCTGTGGCCGACGCCCCCGATACGATTAATTTATTTTTTTATTTTTTTTGGTTCTTTTTCACTTAGTACAGTAAATGGGAAAAGTGTTTGACTCTATTAATAAAGTATTTTTCCTTGCTAAACAAAAGTTATCTTCCACATAGCAGAGAAATTAGATCGCCACTTAACTTTATCCTTGCACACCTTTTTCCCCATTAAAAGCATATTTATTATGTACAAACATTCAAATAATCAAAGCTCTTGGCTTATCGGACCATTGCCTTGTCCGGAGTTCTGTATCAATGACGTGCTCA